GCGCTTCGTTTAATTTTTCGGCGTATTGTCCAATCAACATGTTGTCTTCTCATAACATCTAATTTTCTTGACGCAATGTCCGATCTTCTTGGCCTGATGCTTGAATTCACAGACCGAAGCCTTCTGCCGACACGTTGACTGATCATTCGGTCTGACGTCCAATCTTCTAACATGTTTGTTTCGGCCCAACGTTCGATTCTTTCTGCTTTAATCAATTTATCTTTTCTAGTCGAAGCTAGTTCTGCGTCACTTAAACACACATTAAATCATAAACACTATCAATTAGTTTCATCGTCAAAATCCAAGATTCAGAGGCTCATAAACTTTTTTTATGTCTCTTTTTTTGTAATTTCATGGATATGCCATTGTCAATAAGACTATTAAAATTCCATGAGAAATATTTGGATTCCTTCCCATCTCAGGATTTGGCATCGTGCATGATGTACTTACTACTCCCCACAATCTTCTCACTATATTGATGCATTGATGAAACACTCAATGATCTTCACAAAATTTTGAAGTCTAATTTAAACAATCAAACGTGTAAGTTTAGTTGTTTTAGATAAGGTTCTGTCCAGTATGATATTATATGAATGGGACAATACTTATTAGTTCGAAGTTTACCTGATATTTTCCTCATAAAAGAAATACATCTTATACTAGATAGTTTTTTAATTATTAATTTTATATTTTTTTTCGTATGTACCAATGTAGCAACATTTTATACACCTACTAGTTTGAGTTGTACAGTACATATATACAAAATTATGAATCTTAATTTCAGAAATAAGATATTTGTATGAGAAATCAATTTATGAAATACTTGAATGTCATAAGCAACATATATCATAGTGTTGAGTTAACTTGTGATTCATGAATGTACCCTCTTATAATCTATTTATGAATATTAATATATCTTTCATCTTAAGCATATTTTGATCACACTCATGCACATTTTTCTTTTGATGATCCAAATGGTTCTAACAGAAGCTGAGTTATTGAGATTAAATAAAAGTAAAACAGACTTACAACGTCACAGGGCATTTGGTCTAGTGGTATGATTCTCGCTTAGGGTGCGAGAGGTCCCGAGTTCAATTCTCGGAATGCCCCAAAAGTGTTCTTTTATTTTTATTTTCCCAATCCAATCCAACTTTGGAATTAGAGTCAAATCAAATAGTTAAAACTCATCGAAAATGAAACAATAATTTTTCGGGTTATAAACAGGATGGACTCTCAAGTTTCAGATGACACAGGAATTTACACAAGTGTGTTTCTTGGCTAGATATTGCTAACAAGACAATGTGTTTAACTCGGTTCCGTTCATTTTAAGCTACTGATGTCTACATAGGCATCGCCATCTCTGCCACTGTAACCATCAACTGGGTACTGATGTCTCACCCTTTTCGGAGGATTTCTTCCTTTTCCGTTCAGTCTTGGGTTCTTTGTCTCTCAATTCTTGAGAAAATGACCTCAGCAAGCTTGTCAAATGGTCGTTCCTATGTGCTGAACATGTGAGATTCGATTAGAGTAGTTGCGGAGAGCAAAATTGATGTGATTAACATTACAAACTCAATAAATATTTATGCAGTTCAGCTGGTCAGTTTTTGTTAAACAGCATTGCATAAACAACATGAAGAATTTATTAGAAAGGAATTCCAGAAAAGGTACAGCCGATTGCTATGAGAAATCCAGATCATGTACTCCACAAGAACTCCTAAAATTTCTTGGAAGAAAAGGTCTCAAATATGATGTTAAAAGAATTACCTGATAGTATAACATCTTTCACATTCACAGATTTGCGACCAGCATGATATGCGAACAGCTCTACATCTTTTGCCAACTGTTCTGTATTTGCAGAAATAAACAAGTAATCATGTTAATTAATTTGTTGCAACCAATTTTTTTCTACAATAATATGCAATGCCTCCGTAACTTATGCACCTTCATGAAGATTACTTGATTGATTCTGTTGTTTATTTCCTACTTAATTGGATATAATCCGATAGTTTGCAGGTGCAAATTACTCCAAAAAAGAGAGATATGTCACATCTGATTTGTAAAAACTTGGAACAGAGATAGAATGGCTTAACATTTAACTCGTATAGCTAACTATCTGAAGAAGAGAAGGAAAAATTCTGTAATAGGGGAGACACCCCACGGCTCATGATTTGAATGCATGACTAAGCCAATTAACTTTCATTTGGCTAAGCCCAACTCGATGTTTCATCAAAGATCCAAAGTGTATTTGAAGTACAGCAGGCCCTACTGTCTAAGCACCATGAACATATTGGCACAACAAACAAGTCAGATTTTGTCATGCACTATAGAAGTTGAAAAATAAATCCTCATGACCATACTATTAGTATTCTATGCTATGACCTTTTTCTGTTAATCATTTTATTTAATGTTTTTTTTGTGCAGGCAGAACTGTAAATGCGCATTTGACTGTACACAAGATTTGTAACGAGGTATTATAAAAATGATTATATATGCAAACTTGATATATGGAGTTGTGTTTTTGGCATTTTTATTTCTTGTTTGAGAATAACAGATTCATCTGAAAATTTATGGAAGCCAGATGCCCATTTCTGGAACAATTTTTGTCATTTTAAGGGGTAAACCAAAACTACCTGGTTGTCGGGGATGTTTATGAACTTTGTCATGAGGTATTATAAGAATGATTATAAATGCAAACTTGATATATGGAGTTGTGTTTTTGGCATTTTTATTTCTTGTTTGAGAATAACAGATTCATCTGAAAATTTATGAAAGCCAGATGCCCATTTCTGGAGCAATTTTTATCATTTTAAGGGGTAAACCAAAACTACCTACTTTTCGGGGATGTTTATGAACTTTTTTTTTTGCTATAGCACTTAATCATCATATGTAAAAAAGCCCAAATTCTTCAGATCAAACTCCCAGCTACTGTGATTTTCTTTTGCTGACATAGAATTCACTTGGATATAAGAAATGTACCACTGTGAAGTCAATATAAATAATCCCTCTTAACAGTAAACTATGTTAGATTTACCAACTTTTCAAAGGAAAACTTGGATATAAGAACCCCTAAAACAGGATTGAAGATAGAACAAAAGGACTCATCACAGACGATACAGTTGTTGGAAAAACAAACTGAAATCATTGTTTTTTTCTGCTCAACAGAACTTTTTGAGATCAATCGTACCCCATGAACTCAAATTACCGAAATGGTAAAACCTAGTGAGTTACCACAGGATTCCGAGTCTGATACTAACTCGGAATACATCTACGAGATTATGGATTTGTATCCTATTTGAATCCAATTCAAAGAACCATTGTGAAATAAATCGAATTCAAAAAGGTAACTACGACACAGAGTAATATTTCGCTTATGATAGATAAGGGATCAAATTAGGGTTTTAGCGTCCACCCGTAAATTTGAAAGCTAGGTCAGCGATGCACGCAACCACCGGTTCCGCGACCTGCATTCCGAGCTTCTTAGCTGCGCAATCATGACAACTAATGAGATAGGTAGACGGAGACCGATGAGAAGAGAACGGAAGAAAATGCAGCGGAGAAAGGGACAAACCCTCGGCGTCGGCAATAGAGATAACGGAGAGGCGGAATCGATCCCTCAAAAGCTCTGTCCTCTCCTCTTCCGTCTCCATCTTCTCGAAGCAGCCGTCGCCAGCGCCGCCGACGCCACCCGCGTCCATCGCCACCGACGTGCGAAGGCGTCCGATGACGGCCTTCGTTTGGCGCGGGAGATCGCGACGATTAGAACTTAGTGGTAGATTTTAATTATATATATATATATATTCGACGGTGTAGATTGACTCGGAGAGGCAGCACGAATCATTGATGCTAATGGCCAGTGAACGGGATTGAACCGGGTTCGGATTGGGTCAGGTTGGGGTCGGTTTGAGCGTAGCAAGACTACATTGGATTGGCTCAACTCGAGATTTTTATTTTTTCAAAAAATAAAATTAAATTACTCTAAAAGTACTAATACAAGTCTTAGCTCATCCCTTTAGTTTTAGAATCTTTTTGCCATAGAATTTTTTTATTAATTTCTCAATCATCTGAGTATGTAATGGGTAGCAAAACACAGTGATTTTATAAGAGTAATTCTACCAGGAAAATTATTTCTTCAAAGTATATTCTATAACAAATTTATAGTATTTGTTATCTGACTATTTTAGATATATTATATTTATGTGTGCTTCTTCCATCCAAATGAATTAATACTAAATTGTGTGATAATATTTTGTATGTCATTTAATATAGTAAATGAAGATTAATATTTTTATATAGAAAACACATACTCATAGGACGAAAACGTGAAACACATTGAATTTAAGGCGTCTTCCTCGATCTCCAAAACGTGGAAAATGTGCCGGCTTTTCAACCTAACCAGCCAACCCACCGCCAGTATGTGACTCTATTTTCCTTTTGTTCCACATGCAAGTGAGAAGGATATATATATATATATATATATATGTTTCACTTTTTCGTCCTATATATATATATATATATATATATATATATATATATATATATATATGCGAACGGACTTCCTGCCGTTAGATTTTGTTAGTACACGAAGCTTGATGAAACTGACCTCATATCGGACGGCTCCGGAACTCGGACGCGATTGATCTCAAAAGCCGCGACGCGTCCCAACGTCGTCCATGTCGCTCTTTAAGATGCGTTTCCTTGTTACTGGTCATAAGAAGATGCGTATAGGAATTTTCAACCGTTAGATTCAACAACCACACGATTCTTGATGCAACCGGCGGGGCGCCCGAGGGGATGGTATCGTTCTTGGAACTATATGCATGTTTAGAAACACCCTGAAGTCTACCCGCATGATGATTGGACATGCTGACGTGAGAGCTCACTACAGAGGCCATTTGTTGCGTTCGGTTGCCAGCAGGTAGAAACTTGAGTAACGTTTACACAGGTAGAAAGCCATTGCTCCGAAGCGATATGGATAGATCTTTCTTCCTTCCCACGCCGCCCTCGTTTCCCATTTCATCTCTTCTTGCGGAAGAGAGCTCCGCTCCCCCTCCTCTCTCTTTCTCTCTGTTAGATCGTCGCTCCTTGTCAGCTCCAAATCGGAGGTATTTTTCTTCCCCCGCCTTGTCTCTTGTAGGCTTCATCTGGATGTTTTGGCTGAAACATTTGCAGCCCTAGGTGACGGATCCTTCTTCTCATCGAGGGTTGTTGGATTGTTGTTTTGCGATTCCACCTCTTTGTATTCCTGATTTGGCTGTTCTTGGAGATCTAGATTTTCATTTGATTGTGGTCCTTTAACTACTATTAACGCATGAGACGATTATATGGAGCTGAAATCGTTGCCGTGCACATCATTGCTGCGAAAATCTTCCTTTTGGATGGTGTATTTTATTTAGTAAGTTGAAATCTCTGGTTGGACTGCGAGTTTGGAGGTTTAGGTGCGGTGTGCTAACGCAATATCAAGATCAATCAGAAATCAGTGAAGTGGATACCATTTTTGGTCTTTTGTTTGGGTTAAATTGCAGCCTTTCAGTGACAACATCCTTCTAGGACAGCTGAACGGATTTCTCTAGACTTTCGATAAAGAAATTATAATTTTTAAGATGTCTGGAAGAAAAGAATCGCCCCTTTCTAATTCCGGACCTTAATTTATCTTAGAAATAGACGGCTAACAGTGTTCCTGGTTCGTATTTGTTATAAATCAAATGATGTAATATCTTACAAGCTTTTCATCGACGACTGTGAAAACTGATTTATTCATTTTATCTTAATCCGTTACTGCTTTTCTGGAAAGTTTTAGAAGTGCTTTATGATATCTATATGACCCTAAGTAAAATATCAAGATACTATTTCAATACTCCTAGGTATCTTTGTGGATGAGAAGACTGGAATGTTAATCGAGTCTCATTTTTGTATACATCCATCAGTCTTTAACTTGCTAGCGGGTGTGATCTATTCTAGATTCAAGATTATTTTTCCTACTGGCATGTTACCACAGATACACTGGTTCAAGGTTGTCAAGTGTTTTTTGTTTTATTCTAAAGCTTTTCATTGTTGATTCTTAACCTTGACTTCTCTTGTAGCACTTTAGCAACTATGCCGTCATTTATCTTATTTGCTGAGACAGGGGTACAACAATATTTATGCCTGACAATTTGTTGCTGCCTGCAGGTGTTGCAAGTGTCTAAGTGTGGTTGTCTTTTGTTATAAGAAGAGATGGCTGATTCTTTGGTCCATTCGGCAATTCTTCCTTCTGCTGTCATGACCAGGAGCCAAAGTCAGCTTCGAGGCTCTGGAAAGGCTAAAAGGGGTGCGAAAATGGTCCGATCGATGCGGATGCATCCCTTAAGACTGCAAAGCTTTGCAGGCTTGCGAGCAGCAGACAATTTGGATTTCTCATCAAGATGCCAGCAGGATTTCCATTCAGTGGTTTCAAGATATATATCCAATCCACGAGGGAAAGCCACTAGAGGAGTCCCTAAAGCTATGTTCGAGCGCTTCACAGAGAAGGCAATTAAAGTTATCATGCTTGCTCAAGAAGAGGCAAGGCGTCTAGGCCACAACTTTGTTGGGACAGAACAGATTTTGTTGGGCCTTATTGGCGAAGGGACTGGTATTGCTGCAAAAGTTTTGAAATCAATGGGAATCAATCTCAAAGATGCTAGGGTGGAAGTGGAAAAGATTATTGGAAGGGGAAGTGGATTTGTTGCTGTTGAGATACCCTTTACACCACGTGCAAAGCGTGTTTTAGAACTCTCTTTAGAGGAAGCCCGTCAGCTTGGTACTTCACTAAGACCTTCCTCCATTGAGTTTTGTTCTAAACCTAACTTTTTTAGGTCTTTCTTCTTTTAAATTGAAACTTTCTTTTGTTGTAAGAGTTATGCTAATGATCATCTACTTGGTATTTTGCTAACATCTATTCTATACATTCTAATTGTTTCTGTTTTCCCATCACGTGGATATCATAGTCATGTGTTAACCAGCATTTTGGAGCCTTTCTGTTGTCACATACTTTGAACATGTTGTAACTTCAAAAAGTAGAATATTTGCTGCAAAATATTATTGATTTAAAAAAATGTAGCTTAAAATGCCAACAAGACAACATAAATTGAGAGGCTGTTGTCGCATGAACTCCTCTTTCCCCTCCCATCCGAACTCACAATTAAAATAAAAAAAAAGGGGCTTAACTTTTTGGGCTACTCTATAGGAACTGAGACAATGGAATTCCAAACAGCCAACTGAAGCTAAGCACTTAGATTGGACCAAACAGGACTTTTGATGTGATTCAATTCCACTTTTTGATATTATGCTAGTGAGATTTCCTAAATGTCACTATTGAGCTCACTTGCACTGGCTATCATAGTTACACTAGTGATTGGGAGATTGGTGAGTTGAGTCTGTATTTAAACACCAAACAGTGTCCTCAACATTATGAACTTTTAGTGATGTAGCAGATTTTGTCTTGTGTACTTATCCCTATTTGTGTAAAGATGCTGAGAATCTCGATATTCCAACATTTACAAGGACAGCATGACCTGTCCCATTGTTATGCTTGCTAAAAGCTATTGAAGTATTGTGATCTGTAGATTTAGCAGCCCTGAAGTCTGGTTACACACGATTCAACATCCCCTTACTGGTCACTTTTGGTCTCATGAAGATTGATGGCTCTCATGCCTTCCGAATCTTGTCAGTGATACTTGACTACAAAGTGCACATGACCGATGGATGGACAATCAACAAGCATGAGTTACATGATTGCATGTCTTCCTATTTTCCTTCTTGTGTTAAGTTTGATCAGCGGTAATTTTTTTCCAAAATTTCAGGTCATAACTATATAGGATCTGAGCACTTGCTTCTTGGGCTTCTACGTGAGGGTGAAGGTGTAGCTGCTCGTGTGCTTGAGAGTCTTGGAGCTGATCCAAGCAACATACGCACCCAGGCAAATATTTTTATAGATTTTGTTATGTATTGCAGTGAATTTTAGCAATGATGTGACTTTTGAGCTTCATTATGGAGTAGGTTATTCGAATGGTTGGTGAAAGCACTGAAGCTGTTGGTGCTGGGGTAGGGGGAGGAAGCAGTGGAAACAAAATGCCCACACTTGAGGAGTATGGAACTAATTTGACAAAGTTGGCAGAGGAGGTAATCTTTTCCTATCTTTCACTCTGGAGCACACTGGTTAGTTCCTATAAACAACTCATATCTGAGAAATATAATTACTCCACAGGGGAAGCTAGATCCTGTAGTTGGCAGGCAGCCGCAGATTGAACGTGTTACACAAATTTTGGGAAGGCGTACAAAGAACAATCCCTGCCTTATTGGGGAACCTGGTGTTGGTAAGACAGCCATCGCCGAAGGACTTGCTCAACGCATTGCCAATGGGGATGTTCCAGAAACAATTGAAGGAAAGAAGGTTTGATGAGCTTTCTTCATCACATTTGTTATTTGAATTCACCTGTGCATCTAGTTTATATCAGCAGGTTATATGTCTGTCTCTCTTTGCATGCCTTTTATAAGCACTGTCATGATTTTTCTTTTTGTTCTGTTTTATCAACTTGTCAAATTTTTTTTCTGCTCTCCAGTCTAACATTTTCTTTGTTTTTTTTATAATAATTTTTAGTGAAGAAGCTATTCAGCGCCTGCCTCTATAATTTAGAACAACATGGATCTTCTCCCACTATTGAGCCTTTTTCTTCATGATTCTGTCTTCTGTAAATTTAAGGCTATATAACTCACATGTTGCTATCTAGGTGATTACCCTTGATATGGGGCTTCTTGTTGCTGGTACTAAATACCGTGGAGAGTTTGAAGAAAGGTTAAAGAAGCTGATGGAGGAAATTAAACAAAGTGATGAAATAATACTCTTCATTGATGAAGTGCACACATTAATTGGAGCAGGAGCAGCAGAGGGTGCAATAGATGCTGCCAATATCTTAAAACCAGCTCTTGCAAGAGGTGAATTGCAGGTATTTAGTTTATGAATTTATTTTGGTTTATCTTTGTTCATCAATCACGATCTAATCCATGTGTTGTGAATTGGTTGTGTTTGCTACAAATCGTCTTGTGTTATCTTGAAAACTCGAAATAGTTGTAATTTGTGGTGGTAACTTCCTATGCATGCAATTTGTTTCAGTGTATTGGAGCAACAACACTTGATGAGTACAGAAAACACATCGAGAAGGATCCTGCTTTGGAAAGACGTTTTCAACCCGTAAGAGTCCCAGAACCAACAGTGGATGAAACAATACAGATTCTTAGAGGGCTTCGTGAAAGATATGAGATTCACCACAAACTCCGTTACACCGATGAGGCTTTAGTTGCTGCTGCTCAGTTGTCCTATCAGTACATTAGGTCTGCGATCTAATTCTTTTACTTACCAAAACTAACATGCATTCTCTACTTGTTATAACCAAAAGTATATTCTATAATTTATTCTCTTATTATTCTTCTTTCTTCTCCCTTTCTTTCTCGAAATAAGACCTAGGGTACAGTTACCTGTGCTCTACTTTTGTCTTTTCTTCAGTTTTACTCCAGTAGTTTTGTCATATTCCTTTATTTTATTTTTTTGCTAAATCTTCTTGGTCTTATATTGGTGGAAGTTCTAATTGGGAGTATTGAAGATTAAAATCCAATAAGCATAAGATTTTGAAAAGGAAAAAAATGAATAAATGACAGGAATTCAAAATTATGGAAAACATGTCTTGCCTTTATATCTTGACGAATGCAAGATATTTATTAGAGCATTAGCATTACATGTTTCCATTGTTTGCTCAAGTCATCATGCTCTATCATTTTTCATGTGGTACAACATTCAAGGTTGATAATATTCCAGCTGGTGTAAACTATGTTTGTGCTGTTTCAATATTTGTTTTCTTCAGTTGTGAGGTTCATCTGGTTCCTATGGAGTGCTTGTTTTGCTATGATTGGCATGTAGTTTACTAGTGTAAAGTTGTACAGTAAAGATCAGGAACAATGTCTCTGTTGAGACATCATGGTTGGTTAGTCTATTGTTGCACAAAGTGATAGGTCTCAGGTTCAAGTCCACATATTGGCATTATGCACGCCATTTAATGTAATGAAAATGTATTTCAATTTGAAAAAAAAACATAAGGAACATTTGATGAAGGATTGCAACAGTTGAATATGAGTGTCCAAATAGTAATAGGTCTTAGATTGATTTAAAAGCAAGCAGGGGCATGGTTGAAAATCTATGTATGGATTATAAAGGTACAATAGCACTGCACCCAAGTGATGGATGACAGTTCTGAATGAGTCTGCTAAAAAAAAGAAGTCTGCTAGTATTGTTCTTTTTTCCCCTTGTGTTGGAGGACTAAGATTCCATGATGGACAATGTGGAGAAGCATCTTCTCTTCTAAAAAGTTGTTTCTTTTCTAGTGGTCAGAGGGCAGCTTTGGGGTTGATTGAATTGACTCTCTGATTTGTTGATTTACATCAAACCATTTCCATAAGTTTTTGTGAAATTGATTGCAGAAACAATTAAGACAACAATTTGTCACATTTGGAAATGCTCCTGAAATACACAACATCTTCTGATAACTGAAATGCAAGAATACCAGGGAAGATCATAGGTGACATGGAAAGAAACATGCTTTTACATCGAAGAACATTTTGATAACATAACTGAAATTTAGTGGATGATGGGTTCTAAAGAGTAAAGAGATGAATTATGTACTGTAGTTAAGAATGTGTTTGTGAAACATAAGCACCAATTTTAGCTTACTGAAAAATGCTCAGTTGCAATGATTTCAATATTCATCAATGTCGGTTGTAGTTGAGCTGGGTTGGGGCTTACCTTGCTCGGTGCCATCTATGAAGAGTCTGCCAGTGATTATGCATAGGAAGGGAGCAACCTTGTCTTTTTAGAGTGAGCTATGCTGGTATTTCACTAGTCTATCACTAATCTATGAGATAAATATGATATGATCTCTGAGAGACAATGTTATCTTTCATCTTGTCAATATGAGTACTTGCATGGTTAATCAATTTGTTAGTATAGTTATGCATGGGAAAAGATACAAGCTTATCTTTTTCCCGGGTCAACATCCTACCAAGGTTATTATACTTTAAAATGATCATACCCAAGGAATTTTGTACGAGAATGGGGAAGACTATGTAAAGCTTCTTTCTTGTTAAGAGAATTCTAGTGGGTAGGTTCACCTATGAGATTAATATGATGTGATCTCTGAGACAATATTATCTTTCATCTTGTCAATATGAGTACTTCCATGCTTAATCAATTTGTTAGTATAGTTATGCATGGGAAAAGATAAAAGCTTATCTTTTTCCTGGGTAAACTTCCTACCAGGGTTGTTATACTTCAAAATGATCATCCCCGAGGAATTTTATACGAAGATAGGGAGGACTATATTCTATCTTTCTTGTTAAGAGAATTCTAGTGGGTAGTTTCACCAATCAGAGCTTCAGCAGTAATGACATTTAATGCCATGGCTTGCCAAGACCATCAAATAAGGACTGTATCGGTGAAACATCATTGTCATGACACAGCATTGCCATCAAGTTTTGAGCCTCTGCCATGTTGTTCATCAAAGTTGCCGCTAGAACAATGCCAGTGGCTGTCATTGTTGTCATGCCTTTCTCATCATCTTTACTACGCTGATATTTATTCTTGATGGTTACTTTGCCTATGCTGAGTTTTTTAATATGTAAAATATATTCATCTTCATTTAATGAGAAAGAGACTATTCTAGAAGATCAAAACCCCTCTGCTTTCGAGGGCTTCATATGCTACCAACAATGCAACAGTTAAAAGGTTATTCTTGTACACATTTCTTATACATTCTGTTCTTTTGTAGTGACCGTTTCCTGCCTGATAAGGCAATTGACTTGATCGATGAAGCTGGTTCTCGTGTTAGGCTTCGCCATGCACAGGTAAGGTCTTGTATTGTCTGACACTGTGTTTTATGATACGTGTTTAACTAAAATGTGTCTTGACAGCTTCCTGAGGAAGCCAGAGAACTTGACAAAGAACTCAGGCAGATTACAAAAGAGAAAAATGAGGCAGTCCGCGGCCAAGATTTTGAAAAGGTATTCATATATATTAACTGACTCTCAAGTATCTTGATTTGGCTGTGCTACGAATTACTACTTGTAAATTGAAGTGTTATTGTTCAATGACCTTCTAAATGATGTTATATTTTACACTTCTGTTGTTTTGGGATGGTGTCTTAGGAGCTTGATTGATAACCAATACATAATGTTGTTTTTCCGATCTTTTTTGTACATCCTCTGGCTTTTCCTAGATTTGTGACACTAAAATGCGAATTTAATTGAACTTTTTTTTAAACAGGCAGGGGAGCTGCGTGATCGGGAAATGGAGCTTAAGGCTCAGATTTCAGCCCTAATTGACAAGGGCAAAGAGAGGAGCAAAGCAGAGAGCGAGGCTGGTGATGCAGGCCCTGTTGTAAACGAAGCAGACATACAACACATTGTATCTTCATGGACTGGAATACCTGTAGAAAAAGTCTCAAGTGATGAGTCTGATCGACTCCTCAAGATGGAAGAAACTCTCCACAAGCGTGTTATTGGCCAGGATGAGGCTGTCAAAGCAATAAGTCGTGCCATTCGTCGAGCTCGTGTTGGTCTCAAGAATCCCAACCGCCCAATTGCCAGCTTCATATTTTCTGGTCCAACCGGTGTTGGAAAATCAGAATTGGCAAAGGCACTCGCTTCGTATTATTTTGGCTCCGAGGAAGCCATGATCCGACTTGACATGAGTGAGTTTATGGAGAGGCACACTGTTTCCAAACTCATCGGTTCACCACCTGGTTATGTTGGTTACACCGAGGGCGGCCAGCTTACTGAAGCAGTTCGTCGTCGCCCTTATACTGTTGTCCTCTTTGATGAGATAGAGAAAGCACACCCTGATGTTTTCAACATGATGCTCCAGATTTTGGAAGATGGGAGATTGACAGACAGCAAGGGGCGAACAGTAGACTTTAAGAACACCCTCCTGATCATGACCTCCAACGTTGGAAGCAGTGTGATCGAGAAGGGAGGTCGTAGGATTGGTTTTGATCTCGACTATGATGAGAAGGATAGCAGCTATAACAGAATCAAGAGCCTTGTCACAGAGGAGCTGAAGCAGTACTTCCGGCCAGAGTTCCTGAATAGGTTGGATGAGATGATCGTCTTCCGACAGCTGACAAAGCTGGAGGTCAAGGAGATTGCTGATATAATGCTTAAAGAGGTATTTGACAGGCTAAAAGTGAAGGATATAGAACTTCAAGTGACAGAGAGGTTTAAGGATAGGGTGGTGGACGAAGGTTACAACCCAAGTTACGGAGCTAGGCCCCTTAGAAGGGCCATAATGAGGCTGTTGGAGGACAGCTTGGCCGAGAAAATGCTGGCCGGGGAGATTAAGGAGGGTGACTCGGCCATTGTGGATGTCGACACCGAAGGGAATGTTACCGTTCTCAATGGTGGGAGCGGTGTGCCTGAATCAATACCCCCAGCTATTCCTGTATAGAATCCATATCCTTTGTGTTTGCTGTGATGTAATGGTGAATCGTAGGGGCCGGCGAAGAGCATCTGTGGCTTGCAGCCCCATTCATATCGTAGGGCATTAGCAGGAGAAATTTGTTGTGGGAACACCAGATTGGTTGTCTTAAGCAGATGAAGAACAAGGAGTGAAGTGAAACTGAATATTTTCCTGGCCAAAATTGCTGGTAACACTTATGATCTATGCATGTTGTCATTTATGTTGGATTTGGTGACATTCTCTGGAGATGAGACATGCCGATTTGCTATATGAATTACCATTGACTAATTTCGATTCCCTGGTGGTTCAATTTCTAGTTAAACTAGCTTGTGTACCGTATCATGAAACTTGAGCATGTGGAGTCTGAATCATTTTCCTTTTCGTGAGTGTATTAAACATCATACTATTGCTTCATAAAGTAACATAACCTTCGATCTCTCACAGCTGCATGATGACATCTTTTGAAGGCATCTGTGAATCACACGGAAATAATCTCTCTACTTTTAAGGGTAATATTCCATCAATGTTTCAGATGTACCCCTCTCTCTCTCTCTCTCTCTCTCTCTCTCTCTCTCTTATCCATCCGTCTTTTGATTCCCCTAAATAATATGGTTTTATCAAATTAAATTGTAAGCAATTCATTGGAAGCATGAGTGGCAGTACCTTACAGCGGGGCAAAGACGATGGAAAAGGGTGACATGATAATCGTGTGTTAGTGGTCGAGGGTGAGACAGAGACGATGATCGAAAAGGGTGATATGATAATCGTGTGTTAGTGGTCGAGGGTGGGACAGAGACGATGATGGAAAAGGGTGACATTACAATCGTGTGTCAGTGGTTTGGTCAGGGGTCAGACAAAGACGATGATGAAAAATGGTGATATGATAATCGTGTGTCAGTAGTCAGGGGTTATTGGAGGACAGAATAGTAGCAATGATGTTGGAAGCCATGGGTGGTCGGGGGTGGGACAAAGACGATGAGAAAAAAAGATGACATGAGAATCGTGTGTTAGTGATCGGGGAGGTGATAAAGACGATGATGAAAAAGGGTGACATGATAATCGTGTGTCAATAGTTAGGGGTCGTTGGAGGATGGGATAGTAGTAATGATGTTGGAAGCTATGAGGAAATAGGAAGTTACGAATGAGGTAACCGTGCTACGAGCGATGGTGTATCATTGGTCGAGGCCGGGTGGTGGCGGAGGGATAATTTCGTCAAAGTGATACAAACGGAACACATTAGGAGGGCATCATCTCTTAAAAGTCCAATAGCAAGGGTTTTTAGGTAAAATATCCTTAGAAAATAGGATCAAAATAGTAGATAGAATATGATGTATTGAGATGGTTATTATGACTCATACTAATAAAATACTACCATGGCATCATTAAGCAACACTTGTATCCGCTTAGGATGGAGAAGAGTTCATATCGCCAGGAAAGAGAACCACCACTCAGCATCGCAAGTGGCCCTCATGACATATATGCTGCTGCCTCATGAAATCATTGTCTGAACACATCTCGTGCCTCCTTTTCACCCTTCTTCAAGCTTTCCCTGTCCTACTTTTCCGAGTAGAGAAAGAGATTGGGAGTCCACAGCATGGGATATGGAAGCAGCCAAGCCACGGCGATGTCAAGCTCCTTTAATGGCGACGATGAGAGGGGGAAAGAGGTCTCGTTGGCTTGCGGTTGTCTCTTCCGGTGCCATCGGCTGTCACCTTGCAATCACATGCAAGCACTGATAGATGACTCGGTGGGGCCAGTGGTGCTTCCATTGCCTCCTCCTCAGCCCTGTGTGCGTTTGTCCATTGTCTGAGCGTGGGATTGATGAGGACGATGATGATAGCGCCATGACGCCATGGTTAGTAATGCTTTGTCCAATTATCTTGAACTCAGGACCTTATAAAGATTTGATGAAATGTTTTACTAATTAAGTAGATTAATATCTTAGGTAACGTTTCCGACCCTAAGTAAGTACACTAATATTTAAATATTATATTTATCGGATGAACACAAAACAAAAATAGATTTTGATCTTATGATGATATAACAAAATTATTGGTTTTGTAGGATGAGATTTTGAATCTCCAAAGATGAGTCAAGTGTAATATTTCAAGTGATGTTTCGAACCCTAGATAAATATCAGACTAATATCCTAAGGTTTCAAACTCTCAAAGATAATTTACATACATAAACCCTTAGGTTGAGGTTATTAAGATAGATACATCATCGTGCGACTAATATTTCATATATAAAAAAATAAATAGGATGAAATATTGAAGGCTCAGCCAAATAATCGAATTATAAGCATATGATTATAGTACACACTTTCAAAAGTTACATTGGGATCTCTATATTTATGAAAGTGAAACATTTAGATCCCGATTAAAAAAAAGATAATTTTATATAATTAAAAATCAAGAAAGAAAGAGATATTTTGTTGGAGTAATGAGATTAAATATTTTACTTTCGTAAGTGTAAGGATCTCAACGTAACTTTTGAATCGAACTACTAAAAATAACTAATTATATAAGATAATATGTAATTAACCCAATAACAACTAATAAAAGTTAAAGTGAAGAAGATAGATGTCCTGCAGAGCGACTTTGCTCATTCGATGTCCCATCCCATGAATGGTGTCCTCCCATAAGCTCCTTTGGAAAAAGAACAACAGCTGCATGCGTTCATCGTACAGCTTAGAGAGACACACGCCAACAAGAGAAGCAGATTTAATTGCTCCGAGGGCGAAGTCACAGCAGATGTGGCTCTCCACCTGAACAGCGAAAAGCCTCAAACACTTACCTACGTAATGATGAAGACGACGACGACGACGACGACGTAGTAGCAGAAGTACGTGATGTTGCGGAATTAGTAAAGACGGAGCCCTTAGTGAGCTCTGATCCTAACGAGAGGTTGATGTGCAGATGTACGTATGAAGTTCGAGTCCAGTGATTTAAACTGAACTTATTTTCATTTGTGTTTGAGGTTGGAAGACTGGGAAAACTTTAAAGATGAATAATAGATACAAACTCTAAAACACCGATATAAGATTTATATATTGAATAATTAAAGTTGACATATTTTCTTTCAACCGAATTCAATTAGTTATATTATATATCTTATTCAATTATAAAGAACCATAAAAACCTAACACTTCCAGCAATAATAAAAAGAAAAGTTGATTAGTACGGATTGAGATTATTCCAAATACCACAAAAAGATCTAAATCTTAGTTTTTTAAGGAGTTATTAACCCTTTTGGATTCTTAATGGCCCAAACATCTACACATGAATCCTGCTACAAAGGAAATGCCAAACAAAAACAATTAAATGATCCAAAACGATCAGAAATAAAATCTTAAAACCAAAATGAAAGAAGAAAAAAAAACAAAATGAAAGAAATATGGGAAGAAAGAAAAATAGTGAGGAAAGTTATTGGAGTTTGCCTCTCTCTCTCTCTCTCTCTCTCTCTCTAGGCTTGGCAATGTTTATAGGCTGAGAACATGCATGTTGGGCACCAAAGAACGAATTGGTTTTGTCTCCACTTGATCTCAACATCAGCCCCATCCCCATCATAGGCTCAATGCGTTAAACAGAGAAAATTCATTTTCTTCTACTTTTTCTCTCTTCTCCTTATTTGTTTTTCTTTATTGAGAAAGAGATGAGGAAAATATTCTATTATGTGGCCTTTTTAATTGAATAAGATATAGTTAGATCATGTGATCTATTTAATTAGATAAGATATCTTATAATATTGATTAAATTCTAATTATGATTATCAATCAATAAAAATTAAATTTATTCATGATAAAATTTCTTAGGAGATGACGTTTACATCATAGACTTTGCTAATCACTTAATCTAAATCATTTGCTCTCACATATAAATAGATATGATCTCATAGGGACTATATACGATACGACACGATTGAGATTATATATTTATTATCATCTTTATTTAATTTTTATTCGATTGTTTATAGTAATCCTATGAATGATACGAAGAGATAAGAAGATAAGTCTATTCTCTTTGCAAATTGATGTTACTGCATTCTACGGATCGAAATGCAAAGTGTATTCTAAATTGTTGGTGGTGTAGCAAGCGAAGGAGTCGCTGGACGTCACAAGGTTGATGTGGATATGGGTGGCAACGACGACAGATGATGCAAGCGGGTAGCAACCCATTTAGGCATCGCTATGGTAGCCGCACCCGATGATCACGCATGTTTGGGCGTTGGATAGCGATGTCGATAACTGTCGATGCAATGAGGCACCCCAATGGTATGGTCTGCTATTATTGTCGACCATGAAATGGTGGCTGCAGGCATCATAACAGAGAAGAAGTAAGGGGTCACCGGGGACGGGCTGTATGCGATTTTGACCTAATTGGTCAAAATCAAATGTTGACCAGATGTAGTCAACTTAGTCAAAACCTACCCAATCTACCTTATTTTAAAACCTGGCATGTAGTTATTGATCTGATTCAAATATTGACCTTTTTAGTCAAACTTTGATTTTGATTGAGCCCCAATATTGTTAGATCCTTCAATTTTTATCAAACTTGATTCTCAATGCATTTTGATTGTTAGACTATATTTAGATTCGGTATTTAGATTGAATTTGGAAAAAGTAAAAAATTGATAGTCAAATTTTTATCAATTTTTTACTTTGATCAGTTTTAATTTTAACTGACTTAATTGGACTGATGTTAGCCCAAATCTATTAGCCTATTTTAGATAGCTTAATTAAATAAGATTGGTTGGTCTAATTTAGTATTTCATACGAAAATAAAAAAATAAAGAATATAAATTATTAATTTTATTTTATGTTTTTCTCCTATAAAACATTAATATTTTTTTATTATTTGTGACATTTAAATTTAAATTATTATTTTTGGATATTTGGTTAGTTATTCACATGTATATATTTAAAAATTATGAAATAATAATTATTTGTTAATAATTTATTATCATCTTTTAATAAAATTATAATTTATATTCTATTATGATTATGATTATGATTATCATATGAACTTTTTATACTAATTAATGACCAATAATTACTATAATTATTATTTTATTATGATTAAATTATTATTATTATATAAATTAGATTAATAAAAAAATTAGTGAATATTATTCGTAACTTATATAACTAAGTTTTATTTAACTAGTTGTTGTCATAGTCGCATAAGACGGTAGACTTATGAGATGTAAGTTACAATAAATATTTTATCATTTATAAGATAATTTAAATTATATTTTATATTATTGTATTGATCTTATAGTCATCAAAGTGACTTGGA